TTTTAAAACAGATTCAAGAATTCCTGTTAGTTGTGACAAGCAATTTTTCAAAGACTGTATTATTTTTATGACTCTAGAAAATTACAAACTCACATTGTTTATGTCAGTCTGGGCCATAAGATTTTGAACCTGGAAGCATCCTTTATCGTTGGACATGCATCCATTGAAGAACTCTAGTGAGCTAAAAAATATTATTCATTTATTCATCAGATCAAGTCATTAAAACAGTATATTGAGTTATGTTCATAAAATTAATCCTTCTTTAAATATTTAATTCAATAATATCAAATATCTGAGGTAAGGCTGTATATGGTTAGGGCTCACTTGCATACATTCAACATATTGGTAGTATTTCCTGGAGTTATGCCCCATTTGTAGAGAAACCAGTTATATAAGACTGTATAGTCCTGAAAAAATAGTTGAAATGAATTGTTGCGAATTAACTATTGATTCCAACCTTGAACATAAGCGATGACATTGTGTCATTCAATCCAACACCAGATGATAGCATTGCTTGGCAATACTGGAAATGGCTGCTTCTACATGGGAGCTGTCCCAAAACAGTGGAAGCTTAAATAGTCAACTTATTTTGTTCCACAACGTTCGTGAGTTGGGTTTTTAATAAAAAATCAATATTTACCTAAAGCTAAGATTATTAGATGGCGCATGTTGGTATGGTGAGAAGTTGCACAGAGCAAAGGGTGCTGCCAGCGTTATCAAGCTGCCATAAAATTCCTGTGCCTTCCTTTGGGAAATGCAGGCATAAAATCAAATAACTTCAAGCATTCATGATATTTAATATAACTGAAAACCTAAAAGTAGAACAAGATCAAGTACGAACAGACAAAAGGATCATACCTTGCAAATACTGGAAGAAGCATGGTAGCTTTTTGATTGAAATTGCACTCCCTTGATCAATGCAAAAGAGCTAGAAATGAAAAAAGTATTAGAGAGCATTTTTTTCGAAAACACTGGATACATACATTATTCACGTAAAGACTGATCGCTCAACGAAGATTTGAATTGTCTTTCTGT